TAAAGCTACTATATCAGTATTCATCAACTGTTTGACATAGCCATTCATTTATTTTCAAAAAGGCTATTCTATAATCACACTTCCTTTCAGGAAGCCTACCAACTAAGTAAAAGCCTAAATTACTGATAGCAGTTATACAGGGACCTTCCTGTTAGTTAAGAAGCAGGATTAATTAAACTAATGTGCTAAATCTTGAGCAAATAATTATGCAGAAGAGTGGTAAGAAAGCTTATTTTATTTGTTTTTAGTGGCTGTGTACCTTTAATATGAAACTAAGTAGGCTAAAACGTTCTAGAAAAATATATTTCTTATTTGTACCTTTACTAAGGCTGATTTAATTATTCCCTGACTATGAGAAATATTATCAATTTCTGTTACTAGAAGTAATTATAATTTTGATATATTGATTATTTATTAAAATAATTAGTGAAGCATTAAAATAGTTCCTCTTATGATGGGTAATTATGATCCAATTAAGCATAACTTTCCAAAATGTTTCACAAAAAAGATCCTATCTCTATGAAATAATCCAGTTTTTCCACTAAATCGTTGTACACTTTTTAAATTATGTTGAGACTAAGAAAAATTTCATAATAATGGCTATAATTCTTAAGACTATTAATATACATTTAAAAATTTCTTTCACATATAATTCTACTATTATTACAGCACCAAAATGGCTCTGAAAAAAATATAAAAATTGCACAATGATAAATTGTTTTCTAGGTTCTATCTGACATTGTCAGAGTAAATGAAAGGCCAGTTGGGTGCAGTATTGCAAGTTTTAGCTCTCATGCTGTACAAGACGGCACTTATATTTATTTGGGTCTATTTATTTGGGTGAGGCTCTGTTATTCAGTGGGCCTAGTTTAACTTGACATTTCTTCCCAGATATGGACATCGTGTGTAACCTTGCTTTGGATCAAAAGAAACAGAGAGTTTCCTGTAGAGAAGGTTGTTTAAGAATATCTATAATAACAGGTTTCCACTGAATTACACACACACACACACACACACACACACACACACACACACACACACACTTTAGAGGCAGAAGGAGTCCAGACTAACCAGGAAATCCTTAAAGCCACAAGAGCTACTACCAAATAGATGGGGGTGAAAGTGATCCATCCTCCATTGTAATCTAGGTGTTGAGCTATAGAGACCATAGCAACTATCTTATCTATCATAATCTTAATCTGAAACAAATTGAAATATCTATTAACTCTAGGGCCTTAGTTTAAGAAATAAAATCAGTAATACCATTACTACCTATCTAGACATTCTAAAATTCAAGACATACGGAAAGTAAATCTCGCTACAGAAAAATGTAAAATGTAGTGTCGGGAAGTATTGACTGTGATGTTTGAGTTTCAGAATACTTTGGGGATCTCCTTTTAGCCAATAAATTTTTAATGAGTATTTTAGAGGTTTTTCATGCTATATATTACAGTACATACAAGCACGTTGTATTTGCTAGATTAGACAACATAGCATTAGTTATTTTCTCAACAATTCTAACAACTAAACTTTGGAGAAAAAAAGCAATAAAATCGATTCCTTATTCATAAAATGTTACCAATCAATTTCCTTCAAACTGTAATATTCCTACTCTACTTGAGGATATAGACACAAAAGTAAGCAGACCTCTTTCTTGAATGAATATGGTAGAATCATTAAATGATCTTGATCTTACTAACCTTCTTTTATCATTCAGAAATGGAGTAATGATGTAAACAACTGTTGAGGAAATTTGGGCATTTTAGTAATTAATGATGAAAATTTACTTACATAATAAAAATTACTATTGAATTAAACATTAGCCCCTCAAAGAAATGGTTTTCTGAAAGATAGAGCAAATGTATTAGTTCCCATGAATCTTTCTTCCTCTTATTCTTATTGTTGGGAAAGCTCACATGAAACTACGATATCTAAAATAAATTCACGTATTTACTTATATTCTAAAATCAAGATGGTAGAATAAGTTTAGGAAGAAATTCTCACTGCTCTATCTTAAACACATAATACTACCACATAAAGTACCAAAAAGATAAAGCTTTGCTGAAAAATAAAGATAATATCCCATAGACCAAAAATATACTTTATCTCTGTAAGATAATTAATTGTGGAAGCTGGTATAAAGGTGATCATTTTGTTGTTTCAAATATATAATTTTTTTTTCAGATCTGTGAAATCTAGTTCTTAATTCAGTACCAAGCATTTTGGATCTGAGATTTATGTTTTATCTTAGCAAATACCAGTGTCCTGAATATTTCTTACTGAAGCAGAAAGAAAATTACAGGTAAAACTTCTAACAAAAATGCTCTTAATCATTGATATCAAAAACTTACCAAAAGCAAGTTAAATGCAAAAACAAAAAAAACCTGAACCAAAAACCTATGAATCAAATATGTAGTGAACTAGGTATGAGTTAAAGAAATAATGACACTTAAATATATGAAGAATATGAAATAAACTAAACATTTTTGAAGAAAGAGTTTTTGCCAAATCAAAAATAGTACAATTATAGCTTAAAGTTTTGCTTAAAATAGACTGAACACGTAACAGACCCCATTCTCATATACCTATATTTAACCATATATTGTCTCTTCAACAATAATTTTCATCTACTTCAAATGTTGGTGAGGCTCCTTGAATAAAGAACACAACCAAAGGCCACTGTGTTTAATAAAAATTCTGACAGTTTAAATTGGAAAGAGTGTAGATTCTCTTTCTGAGCTTTTTATTACATTTGATTATTAGAAAATGATCTCATTTTAAATGGAGCACTAATGAAAAAAATTAATTCCCATGTGCCAAAGTGTATATATGTGATCCAATTCAAATCCGTTCAGCATCAGATCAATCAGCTTATTTAATCAACATCAGTAAGTTTTTATGACTGTAATTAATTATCTTCCTGTGTCTTTATATATGTATTTTACCTTTTCTTGGGTCATTATAGGAAGTGACCAGGCTCTTAGCTAAACTAATCTGCTATTTGTCCATTGGATCTCATCCTCTTATATACTTAGAGATAGTATTACAGCAATTCTTCCTCTGTCTACTGCCTTGGTGTTTTTTTCCCCTCTATCCTTATTCACTCCCATCACTATGCAAATATATTCTTTCCTTCATCCAAAAACAATAAACAAAAATACTCCTCTTCACCCCACTCCCCCTCCACCTATTGCCTCATGTCTTTCCTTTTCTTTACAGTGAAACTTGAAAGTGTTGCCTATATTTGCTATCTCATCTCCAATTCTCTCCTCTCATTCCCTGTTGAAACTCCTATTCTCTCCTCTCATTCCCTGTTGAACCTCCTATTCTCTCCTCTCATTCCCTGTTGAACCTCCTATTCTCTCCTATCCTCAACATGCCACTGAAGATGTTATATTAAGATTCTCAATAACGTTTTGCTAAATCCATCAATCAGTCCTCAATCTTCATCATCCTTGCCCCATTAGCAGCATTCAACTCAGCTGATCATTGTCTACTCCTCAAAATACTTACAATTCACTTGTCTTCCAGGATACCACTTGACTTCCATTTACAGTATTGCCTCTCACCTCCTGGCTGCTCCCACTCAGTCTTCTTTGGCCATACTCACTTCATCAGCAAATTCAGCTGCCTCTAAGCATATCTAGAATCTGCTCATTGCTCATCACCTTCATATCACTCTGGTCAGAGCTACCCTCATCCTTCACTCAGTTGTTGAACTGGCTTCCCATCTGTTATGTACTTCTGCACTTACCATCCTATAGACTATTCCCAACATAATAGCCAGACTAATCCTGTTAAAATTTAAGTCAGATTATGTCACTTGAATGTTTAAAATCCTCCAATAGTGTCCAATCTAACTGAAAGGAAAAGGTGAAGTTCTTACAATGGCCTACAAGGCCCTACATGTGATGTAGTCCTATTATCTCTCTTGATCTCATCTCCAAATTCTCCCAATCTTCATATTTCTACTCTATCCATATTGTCCTCTGTGCTATTGCTTAAGTCCATAAGGGCCTTTGTACTTAGTGTTTTTTTCTGCCTGGCATGCTCTTCCCCCAGATAGGCTTGTCACCTTCTCACTGAGGTCTTTTATGGTACCTTAGCTAAAATCATAACTCTTATCCCTATTCCCACCCTTATATTTCTATCATCTTTTCCTGATTTATTTTTCTCTCTAGCACTTATCAACCTAACATACTTTATATTTATTCATTCTGTTTACATCTGTTTCCCTGACCAGAATTTAAGCCCCATAATGGCACAGATTTTTGTGTTTTGCTCTCTACTGCTTAGAAACGTTCCTGGTACATAATAGGCACTCAAAAATATTTTCTAAATAAATGAAACAAACATTTATTTCTGATAATATTGGGTTTAGATCAAAACCATCTAAGCATAAAATGATTTCAGGGGCTCCTGCTTCCTAGGAAATGCATAAAACTCTAGAAAAATTGCCCATGGGTTAACACTTTCTGGGTGGTCAATATAAGAGACTGAAAAAGCCTCAAGTACTTCAAACTTTTCCTTTCTCTTTTCCTCTGTTACATCTCATCCCACTGCAATCCTTTTTCTGAGTAGTGAGAGAAGGCTTCAACCTCAGGATAATCTAAAGCATTCTGGATCACCCTGCTCCAGTGCCCCATCTATAACTTTAGCTAGATAAGATCTCAAATGTTAAAGGCAACCAGCTTTGAGCTGATGATATTTAGCATACGGCATATCTTCCTTATTGTTTATGTATCCTTGCTTAACAAGTAATAGCACACCTTGAATTATATGTGTATGTATGCTTGCTTGCTTTGCTATTGCTAATGAATTGCTGCATTTTACAATAAATATTAATTTTTAATATTAAGTATTTGACATTTTAAACTAAAAATCCTAAAGAATTTTTGTAGAATACATTTTTTCACACCATTTTTCATTGTGATTTTTTACATTAGAGTAATAAACCCAAGTGGAATATTCAACAAAGGAGATAAATGTATTTCTCTTACCTGGAGCCAACACAGTGGGATCAAACTGGTTTTCACTTTCCTCATCAGTGCTTTCATCATAGATTGCATCTCGGTCAGCAGTCATTTCAGAACAGGTTGCAGATTCCCTAGAAACAGAGAAAGGAAGAATTATAAATCAATGATTCACCCCTGGCAAGGCAACAAATTCACCAGCAGGTAATTATAGAACATATTCCTGGAGAAAGAGTTTAAATAGACAACAATATATTTAAATATATATGATTTAGATGAAGCCACTTTAGAAACTATATATTAACTCTCTTAAGAACAAATGTCTCTTTTACCTAATAATCTGAATATTTAGTGTTCACTATAATTAATCTTAAATCATCAGTTTCTTATCACTTATTATTATTCTACCAAAATGCTATTCTACCAAATTATCTCTGTGGGTCATAACATTTTACTAATCTCAAAGTAGCTCTGCATTTCTTTCTTTCTTTCTTTCTTTTCTTTCTTCCTTTCTTTCTTCTTTCTTTCTCTCTCTCTCTCTCTCTCTCTCTCTCTCTCTCTTTCTTTCTTTTTTTGAGACAGAGTCTCACTGTGTTCCCCAGGCTAGTGTGAGTGCCGTGGCGTCAGCCTAGCTCACAGCAACCTCAAACTCCTGGGCTCAAGTGATCCTTCTGCCTCAGCCTCCTGAGTAGCTGGGACTACAGGCATGCGCCACCATGCCCGGCTAACTTTTTCTATATATTTTTAGTTGTCCAATTAATTTCTTTCTAATTTTAGTAGAGACAGGGTCTCGCTCTTGCTCAGGCTGGTTTCAAACTCCTGAGCTCAAACAATCCGCCCGCCTCGGCCTCCCAGAGAGCTAGGATTACAGGCGTGAGCCACCGCGCCCGGCCTTCTGCATGTCTTTTGATCTTCCCAAAACCCTGAGATGGGTACCTTTACCCTTATTATGAGGATAAAGTGACTTGTCCAAAGCTATAAACTAGTAGGTATCAGTGCCAGACCAGCAGCTGGACTAGGACCAGTAGACATCAAATGTTAAGTTTTTTATACTATGTCACTGGTAAACCTGTGCTTCCTCTAAGATTCAGAGCAACAGACTCTAACCTATATTTGCTAATGCCTAAAAAATTATAACTGTTGAAAGCCATACCAGCCAACTGCCACCTACAATTCTTCCTTAAAAATCAAGTATGCATTCACTTTCAGAGAACACTTGACAGAAGGATGAGGCAGATGATCCCACTCTAATCAGATAAAATAAATGCTCCCTGGAATTTAACACTGGACACTTGATTCTAAAGGTAGCCACTTCTTAGATACTAAGATTACAAATGTGTGTCCAACTCTGTAGTTTTGCAGGAGATGAAAGGTTTTTAAATTAATATATATCTTTCTTAGTGATGTCTAAGAATTAAACAATGTTTAGAAAAGCCTCATGCCAGTTTTACAATTTAAGTGTAGGACTTAAATCAGCAGACATGGAGTGATCATGTTGAGAATTCTTTAGTCCATGGAATCCCTAATAGCCAGAGCATCCAACCACAGACTATTGAATGACCTCATATCACTAAAATGTTGGCACCTAACTTTCACAAAGATTAGGAAGAAATTCCACTTAAATTTATGCATCTGTCATGCAAAAACAGGAAGGCCAAAATACCTTTCGTGTTCAGTGTTCTTTTCTCGTTCTTGAACTTCATTTAACAATTTTTGTAAGCTTCTGATCTTTGTTTTCTTCTCATTCAACACCAGAATAAATCGTTTATAAAGATCTGTCTCCAAAGCTTCCTTAGCATTCACACATTTTTCAAATCTAAAAAAGTAAATAAATGAATAAACAAACAAATCACAGTTCTTCTTAGCCTTGACATTATTCAGTCTAGTATTCAAGAAGATTTCAAGAAAACTTTTCACAGAAAATACAATTAAAAATCAGTTTTACATAAACTTCCAATGACTTAAAAGTTTTATACAGACAAATAAATAATTAGAAATTATTGGTAATAATGTTAGTAATTTATGCACTGAGAAAAGGATAAAAATTGATACAAATAAAGTGTTAAAAATCTAAATGCCTAAATGTAATTCATATTTATGATTTATTTAAAAAAGAATTTATTCACATCTACATTTTATTTACAAAAGAATTTTTTTATGGGAGAAATTTCAAATGGTAAATGTAGCCTCTGCTTCTTCAATATTTTGTTAATATTACAATAATACCAAACACAATCTTGTTTTGTGATAAAGCAATATCCCTAATCTGCTTGATTGCCCTATTAGACTATGAACCGCTCCGTCACCACCACATTACTTAACCAGCTATATCCTTATAACCTGGCACTACATACATACATACAAATGCACATACAAACACATATATGCATATAATACATAATGAATGAAAAGATTCTACTTTATATATCCAAGGAAAGATTAATGAAAAAGCGATTGTGAAACCCTGTATATCTTCAATTTTAGATATGTAAGGTAAAACATACAAAATTCTCTAATTCTCCCTACACTGCTCAAATGAGCTAACAAGGGATTGTATTTTATTTTAATCTTCTAAAGATATATAAAGTAGAGAAAGCAAACTAGCAGAAGTTTTATATACTTGATATGTACATACACATATACCATGAATAAACTCCTATTTTGTAGATTCACATACATATTATTTCATGTAAAGTATTCTTTTAAATGTAGTCTAGTTCTGCCTAATTTCTCTTTACCATACTGTTTACACTGCTCTTGTTCCATATAGGTGCTGTAGCATTTTCATATTACATATATAACTACATACATATGTATGTATCAGTAGTACTCTATACATATGTGTGTATATATATATATAATATACACACATATATATTTCAGTGAAATAATTAGAAACAAAAATGCTAATATTTGATACCTTTTATATATATACCCTTATACTTTAAACAACTACCTATCTAGAGACGTAAAGAATTAGGTCCTCTCATAAGACGAATATGGCAATATGGCATATTGCATATGGCGATATATTCTCTGGGACCAATTAGAGCAAATTCTTACAGTATAGTCTTTACTAAGGCTGTGATCTCCATGAGGGCAGAGAGTAAGTGTGTTTTATTGGCTGCTTTATCCTCAGTGCCTAGCATAGTGTTTGGCATTTGATGTCTAGTAGGTATTTGTTAGATAAATGAGAGAGTTAAGATGGACATCTTTTTGTTGTTGTTTTTCCATTTTTACTGTTTATTTATCATAAGTCCTTAACAGTAGATGAGAACTTCTTTTTGACATCCTGTTCTTCAGTTTCCTTGGTCCTTTTTGCCCAGAAGCAAAAGAACTGAGCATTGGTGCCAGCAGTCTGGAAGTTCTCCTCCTTGGTGATGATTCTGGCTTTCACCTTGTAGATATTCCATATGGACATTATTGGCCTGTCAGCTGGGCGGCCAATTTGAGTTCTTCAGCAGAGCTGTCTCCCTTCTGAGGGCTTCCTGGGGAAGAGGATGAGTTTCCAGCAGTATTCCTTCAGCTGCTGCACATTGGCCTGCAGGGATTCGGTGGACTTGTTCCACGTCCTCAGATCCACAGAAATGTAGATGGTGCAGGTTATGTTCTTGTGAATGCTGGCCACCCTTAACTTTTCTAAGCTGAAGGCCCTGCCAGCTTGTACTTTGGTATGATACCTCACTGGGGGGCATCTTACTATGGGTCAGATGGGTCTAGATGCAGGGCACAGAGTGATGCAGTGAGCCTTTTGCTTGCCTAGCTGTGCATATGAGAATCTTCCTAGCCAGCTGGTTGAACCATGTGGCCATGCGCCACTGCCATTCCATATAGAAGTAGGGCTTCAGGATCATTCCATTCTGGCTGGGTGCCATGGCTGACTACGGCTCTCCTCCAAGACAATGGCCAAGCATAAAGGCTAAAATGGATATCTTATAAGAAAATGAAAACCAGCCATTCTGAATATTACATTTTTTCACCCATTTAACAATGATTCACCATTATGACAGTAATATTTTTCACCTTCAGCTTTAAAAAAAAAATATTCTAGCAAAAAATATTAACCTAACAGTATTCCCTTCATCAAACAAAGCACTTTGAGAAGAAATACACCAAAAGATGTGAAAAAAAATAGAGCCAAAATTGAAAAGGAGATACCAACATTGATGGCTTATTTCAAGCAGTCATTGCATTTATATTTCAGATGCAAAGTGTTATGGAAACATAATATTCTCATCTTCCTGTAATATTTTCTAATGTAACACAATGACAAAAATTTTAAAAAGATGAATATAACGTATATACTACTAAAATACTTGAGTACATACTAAAATAATTCAAACATATGCAAAGTAAAAACAAATATATAAATATACAATAAAAATCTTGTATAATATAATAATTTCTTACATAAAATTTTAGAAATAGTAACCAATTAGTAATTTATCTGGTTTAAATCTATATTTAATTTCCATATAAGTCACTTCAATAATTCTTGATTGAAAGATTATGAGCACTTAACCATCAAGTTAATTCCCAAAATTTTATTAAAATTAACATTAGATATAACATATTAAAATTAAAAATAAATATCAACATAAAATATCCTATAATTTGCCTAAAGAATAATGTTAATCTAAATAACTAGTATCAAAACTACATTATCAAAGATAATATCATTTCTATGATATGGAAACAAAGTCAATAGACTAAATGGTATCATGTGAGTTAGCCTTGCTTAGTTTTAGCAACGCTGTAGAATTTTGTTGCAGCCAAACTTCTGATAATCAAACTGGACAACACTTCCTAGAAAAGCTGGGGAGTGGGATTTGGCTGGGACAAAGTATTACTGTGAACAGTTGCATGATGTGAATTTACTCTTAATTTTTCAGCAGACTCAGAAAATAGCATTTTCAATATTCAATATTCAATAACTAAGAGGTACATGGCATCGTCCCCATCTCATTTTTAATGCCAATCCTCTCCTGTAGCATTATAATGTTTCTATGCCTTTCAGATTACTTTCTTCCTGCCAAGGCTATGTCTCAAGAATTGGACAGGAATTATTAGGTGAGACCATTTAGTGGAGGAGAAACATGAGATGCCACGTCTAGTGACATAAAAGAGAGCTAACATACAACTAGATCAGATCACAACTAGTCCAAGGATCACCCCCAGGACAAAGCTCAAACCGATGAAGCCATAAATAACGTGAAACAGGAAAGGCCTAATGGCACATCATCCTTTCAACAGTGACTAGGACAACAGAACAATAATGCTAAGTTTAATTAGTAACCTAGGACTGAGGTATCTAGGACCTTGGACCAAAGGATATTAATTTTAAAAAATTTAAAGAATAAAAACTAAATATGGAAAAATAGTGAATATTCAAAATAAAATATTTCTGGGTGGGAAGACAATCTAACATGTCAAATACAATAACATAAATAGGAGCAAAACCAAAACAATTTATGCAGAAATAACACCCCGAATAAAACAACAGATAAATGTGCACATATGGTACTTAGAAACAGTACAGTAAACCTTACATTAATAAACAGTACTTGCCAAATTTATATCCAGGTCAGGGTTGTGAAGCAAAAGAAAATCTGAATAGAGCTGAGAGGACAAAGAAAACTAAAAAGAACTGGCAAAGAAAGCAGTAGTAAAAGATTTAATAAGCCTTTAAGCACCGAAGAAGATGGTGAACAGCTGTTCCTCATCCTTTCTGACAACAGAACAAGAGGAAATGGCCTTCAACTGTACCATGAAGGATTCAGATTACCAATACATGGAAGGAAGACTTTTCTGACTGTGACTGTTCTTAAACACTGTAATGGGTTACCAAGGGGAGATGAAGATAGCCCTTGAGGTCTTTAAAAATTAGACTGAATTCATCCAGATATAATGTGATTCTATCTTGAAGGCAGAGAGATAAAGTAGAAGAGCTTTCAAGGTCTTCTATTCTAATGATTCTGTGAGTGTCAAACCTAATTCACTGAAATATGCCTCCAATTATGGGTTTAATAACTATAACTCAGAATAAAGCCAGAGAATTTCTAAATTGAAGTCTGAGTATAAACAAAAGACGTATTCAGTAACATGAAACTTGAACGTTGTTATTTAGAATAAAGTAGAAAAACCCGGTGAAATAAATTGAGCTAGTAACCTAAGGATTCACATACAAGTTTTCTAATGTTTCCTTCTTTATCTAAACTACACGAAATTAAATGAATCCAGTAATGCCATTTGTTCAAAATGGAGCCCAAACCACAATTATTAAACAGTAACTAAAAAATAACAGCAAACATGTATGTTAAAAGCCTACAAATTAAATCTCACTCTTTTTATTCGTACTATAATTTCTCATTCCTCACTCAAGCTTTGTTTATTCCCCACTATAATCCCAAATGGAAATCATTTTATAGTTGACTTTGATCATAAAAGTGATACCTAATTAAATAACAAAATACATGAAAAATACCCCCAAAAAGTAAAGGAAGATTTAACCTACAATTCAGACATATACTATTAACATTTAATTTTCTCCTTCTAGATGTCTTATATGTAAATATACATTTTGCAAACAATGGAATTCTGTTCATATTTTCAGTAATGTACAAGTCTCCCCTTAATATATCATAAACATTTTCCATGTTAATAAGAACATGGGTACATAATTTTTTTTTGCTCATATAATATCCTATTATATATTAAATATATTTCAGGACCATCTACCATAGCTTATAGGGGAATTCTCATCCCTTACTTTCCCCTTTCTAACACCACTCCCATCCCTCCGTATAGTCTGGAACAGTGACAGAGAAGAAATGATCGGATCTTGAATGGATACTGACACAAGTGTAATTAGAGGTTGCCCTGAAAACTGAACTGTGGCCAGACTAAACATCATGGCATCAACTCTAATGATTCTCTACTTTCTATGTCCCCAGTTACCTAATTTAGTAAGCTCATGTCCTATTTCTAATCTTCCTAAAGACTCTTTAATTAGTACTGCTGCCTTATGGAAACTGGAGCTGTAAATCCTTGGCTATTTTCCAGTGTACTAAGGCTCTACTGAGGGAACACTAAGAAAGTACTGCCTATCCATGACCAAGACATATTTACATCTCCTTAAAGTGGCCCCTCTCTTCTCTGAAGGGGGAGAAACAAAATTTGGGAAATACATAAAGCTACTAATCTAACATCTGGAATACAATCAAGATCCTAGAATTTTCTGGAGTGGACTCTCTTTCCTTTCAGTTTACAGGGCCACCCCAATGGCACACAACCTCAGCCCCTGAAGAAAACGTCTGATCTAGTATTGACAAAAAAAGAATAGCTGGATCATAATAAGGCAGGTGACAGGATACATGAATGTGCTTTTGATCAAGCAGGACATCTCCTGCCACAGTAAGACAAAAGCACTTTCTGGATAGTTAAGAAATAGCAAATCAAGCATCTGTGAATCACATATTATATGTGCCCCTCACACACACTGTTTTACAGCACAGGGTGCATTTGTCTCCAATGTCTCATCTTCCTTCCCTGCTGCTTTCAATTGTACAAGAGTGGTGTTGAATACTGATGAGATAATACCTCTTTCAACCTCTGGCAGACATTTTAAAGCAATTTGTTCAAGTACCAAGTACCCAGTCTGCATTTTTGTAGGCAATTTGTGGATCAAATTTCCTATCATCCTGAGGGTATTCTGAGTTTTAAATATAATGGCTTATCATGACCACAGCACATCTTCTTTAATTTGATTTATTTCATATATAAAATAGGAAAATACAGCCAAATTACAGATATCAGTCCAAAAAAATGCTTTGTAGCACAGATATTTAATACTAATTCATACTAAAATGAAGGAAACAAAAGTCAAAGAAAAAAATAAACTTACTTTTTGTATGGTTTTCTAATTCTTACAGAGTTTTGGTTTGGTCACATTATTTTTATGTTATTTATAGGGAGTCTTATATATATAATTGGAGATAAAATTAATTTAGAGCTAAATGATAACAAGTTAAATACTTTCTTAACATAATAACTGAGGCCAAATATAAACAGGTGTTAGGAATTTAATTTTACAGGTCTTTCATTAACAAATATAATCAAATGTACAGAAAAATAATCTCTTTTAGTCAGTCTCATTTTCACATGCATATATTGATAACAGTAAAACCTTTCACTATTTTTCATGTACTTCTCCATATACTTACTAATGTCCATATAGAGCAATCACAATGGTTGCTCTAAAAAGACTTTATATATTTAGGATAAGTGTTTCTATGCCTTAGAGCTATTTGTTTGAATGAACGATTGCAAAATCTACTGGATGTACTGGATGCAATAATAATTATTATCACTATCATATATATTCCACATAATTATTTCAGACATTGTTCTCTCTCTATATATTGTACAAACATGTACATATTATATATGTCTCTGTAGAGATATAAATGTTCACAACATATATTTTATTTCCTTCGAATATCTTTTACATAATAAAGTAATACAGGTTACACACTGGGCTAGCCTGGATTATAATTTAGTTGAGAAAGTTTGTAATTGAAAAATGCTACTTTTTTCTTCATCATTTAAAAAGTATTAATAAGAAGCAAAGCCAGGAAAATAAAAGGCTACGGATGTCTTATCCAGTAGCCACAATTACCTCATCTTTTAAAAATGCTTATAGTATGAATTTTCAATCAATTGGTAGAAATAAACCTCTGTTAGAAGCCAAAATGTGTACCATTTGAATAGTTGCCATTCATTGATTCCAAATAAGGAATCAATTATGCTTATGCTTATTTATATCTCATGTCTCTTTTTATTTATTATTAATCCTATAATTTGAGCTTAATTAATCCTTATAAATATCTACTACATAAATTTTTTATTAATATTAATGGATTCTGATTTTCAATGCCCAATTACTCCTTATCACATTTAAGTTTGTTGGTGCCACCACATACTAATGACATAAAAGTGTCATCTATAATAGTGAATAACAACTTGGTTTCATCATATTTAGTAAAGGTATAATTTATAACAGATTTTATTTTAAATATATGAGAATCTACATATATCACAAATTAACAAATTAATAACTTAAAACTACAACAATATAAAGAGAGCTCAGCATTTTTATAATGCAAGCACATTGTGTACACACCGTTCTTGAACATCATTCCAATCTCTCAGAAGCCTTTCATTTTCTTTCTGCAGGTGCTCATTTTTGGCTTGCTTTTCTGCGATGGTGTCCAGGCAGTAACAAATAAGTTCTCTAATGACCTCAGCTGGGCTTTCAACTTTCTCTAGGTTGAAGGAACCAAGTCTGAACTAAAATGAAAGGAAAACATGGTTAGTTCTGGGATATTATCAAGATTCAATAGTCCAGTTTTAAATATACGTAATTTCTTCTGAGGGGGAAAAAAGGTAAGATTTAAAACAGTGTTTTTACCAGATACAAATGCAGTGAACAAAAAACCCTGAGCTACTTCCTAAAGTTTCTTACTAAAGTTTATCATACAAATCAACATACAGCCTAAGAAAAATTTTTATAGGTGGTAAGCCCTTATCCCACCTCCTAGCAGAAAAGAAAGCAATATAAATACCATGTAGCATACTACCGTCTGGTTGATCAAGCCTAATTTTAAGTATCTCTGCTCAGAATTTAAAAAAGAATTATACATAAGCATTTTTAACTCTAATTTCTGTTAATACAAATGGTAAAATGAAATAAGTGAATATAAACTATTACAGAAGAAAGATCAAAATTTTGGTAATAACTAAGTGAAAGGTAGAGTTTTAGGAAACTGATAACCACACAGTAATTATTCCTTTATCTAAAGACTATAATTTATTATTACAAATTACCAATAATAAAGTGAAGTGCCAAGCTTGAATACTTTTGCATGTAAGTAAGACTCTTAAAAATATTTTAATTTCTCTACTAGGGGGCACTATAAAATAAAATAGTATAAGACAGTTTTAGTTATAGAATTTTGAAGGTAACACAAGTACTTGCCATCTGGCTGATGAGGATGCTGAAATACAATGATTAGTAATAATTATAATTATCCTTAATATTAAAATTAGAATTGTTATAGCAGATAATAAAATAAAAAAATAATGATATTATACAGCTACCACGTCTTGTAATAGAAGTATAATTCAAGCATAGCACAAATATAAACTCATCTAATTTTCATCATAAAGGAAATATTATTATATCCATATTATAGATTAGTAAATTGAGTTTCAGAGTTGAAGGGATTGAAGGGATAAATCCAAGATCCTGTTATGCTAGGCTGTTATGCTGTTTCTTGATATAAGAAGGTATCCTAACTAGACAACTAGTGAAGGTAAGAATTAGGTTGAGAGTCTACACTTAATTCTAGTAGCATTGAGTGAGTAGTAAAAGCGTAAAACTGAGAGGTTTTTTTTGTTTGCTTGTTTCGGGTTTTGTTTTTTGCTTTCTAGGTCACAAATTTCTATTATGCCATTTATCCAACAAGAACATTTTCAAAAGGTATTGCTTTTAAAAGAATATTTCTATAAATATGTTATATATAGATTGAGAAATATTTAACAGTGGCTAAGGATTCTGAGACAAATCCCTATCAGGCAGTTTATAAATAAAACTAGAAGTCACTAAAGTAGAAATCCATTGTGGCATTTTACAAATCATTTCAGTTAATTCCTTTAATTTAGTATTATTTGGACATATAACCCCAGGAAGTTAGTTTCTCTGGGTGAATTATATTTGCTAATTTATTGTAAATCTTCAGATAGAAAACATGGGTAGAAGATTACTTAACATTACAGACATCCTGCCAAAAGGCTCAAATACTGACCATTTCTAGCTTGAGAAATATTTATTTATATTTGTTTAAAATGGAAAGGAAAATCACAGATATTTATATTCTTTGATATTATAAACACATTTTAGAGGACTGAATATTACTCTTCTAGCCACAAAGAAATTGTGTATGTATTTGTATATGAGGGGTTTTTTTATTGAAATCCAAGCAGGTTATACTGTCTGTTTAATTCTTTCATTTGTTTTATCTCACCTCTTCCTGTCTCTTAACAAAAGGGAAACCAGTTAAAGAAAAATTTTTATTTCAATGCATATACTCAGTTGTATTAGATTCATATATTTGCCCTAAATTAAACAATTTATGCAATACTTAACAAAAAGGACTTGGAAGAATTATAAAAAATTTATTCAATTGAAATTATTTCAAGCTATTTGTCAC